CTGGCAGGCTGCCCCCCCCCTGCAGAATGGGTGGCCCCACGAGCCAGCCAGGCCCCCTCGGGGCCGCTGAGTCCTGGGGAGAGCTGGGAAGGGGACCCCGCCCAGCTCCCAGACCAGCCCACCCACCCAGCTTGCTAGATGCCCTGGAGCAGGGGAGGGATAGCTCAGTGGTCTGAGCATTGGCCTGCTACCCCCAGGGTTGTGAGTTCAATCCTTGAAGGGGTCACTTAGGGATCTGGGGCAAGGACTGGACTCAACAACCTTTTCAACTGGTCCCTTCCAATTCCATGATTGATAGATAGAGAGAGATGTACCTATTTTTTTTAAACAGGCTGCAGGCAGAGGGCAGCTTCCCACAGGCCCCCGGGCCCACCAGCAGGGCCAGGGCCAGCCTTAGGGGTGGGTGACCGCCCAGAGCACTGGGCTCGGGCGTGGCTGTACCTGAGCGCAGGGTCGGCACCAGCCTCCAGCAGCAGTCGCACAGCCGCCCCCTTCCCTGCCGCAGCCGCCACGTGCAGCAGGGTGAAGCCGGTGCCGTCGATGGGCTCGCTGAGCAGCGAGAGGAGCCCAGGGGTTGCCCAGGGGGCTGCGCGATTGGGCTCCGACCCCTCACTCTGCACCCTGCCAGGGTGGCCTTGGGGCTGCCCCATGGCACCATCCTCGCTGCCTGCTGGGGGTGCCCCGCTCTCTGCCACACCCAGGAGGCGCCGCAGCGTCCCCACGTCCCCCGTCTTGCAGGCCGTGAACAGGGCGTCGCGGAGCTGGCCCAGGAGTGTTTCTGGCAGGAAAGGACAGATGAGATCAGAGCCAGCCCCAGGGCCCCCCCGGCCTGAGCAGCACAGGCGCACTGCCTGAGCCAGCTCCTCCCCCACCCCAAAGCCAGGAATTCCCCCAGGGAACAACCTGCTCGGGGACGCGCAGCGTCTGACCCCTGTGCGGCACACACCAGAGTGCACCCCCCTCCCGTCACCCGGGTGAGGCTAAAGATGGCACCAGGCCGGATGTGAAGCCGGCGAGAGAGGAGACGCTGTGGTTTACGACCTGCCGGGTTAGCGAGGTGCACCAGCTTCTCGTTTGTCGGGCCACTGGCTCTGCCTGTCTCGGCCGGGCTCTCCCCCAAGAGGTGACAGCCCCTGATCACCACCTCTCCGTAAGGGACGCAGACAGCGCTCCCTACAGGTCTCAGTGCAAGGGGCCGTCAATCATTTCTGGGGCTCCTCTCTGCACCGCTCCGGTTTTTCCACATCCTACTTAAAATGTGGACCCCCAGAACTGGACACAGGACCCCAGGGTCGGGCTCCCCAGGGCCGTGTACAGAGGTAAAATCCCCTCCTCTCTGCCCAGTTCACACCCCAAGGGTCACATTAGCCCTTCGCTCAGCCATTTACCACTGACCCCCCCAGTCCTTTCCTGAGGCCCAGCTGCCAAGATACAGCCCCCACTGCACGGCGTGGCCTGCAGCCCTTGCTCTAGGGGTGGGCCTTTCCAGCTGCCTGTATTTCAGCGCAGGCTGGGCGATCTGGATCGCTCTGTTCGGTCACCGCTCTGCCTCTTTGGCTCCCCAGCCCCTGCTCGCACCCAGCAGCACGGGGGAGGGTGCAGGGGGAGGAGCGGCCTGAGCCCACGTAACCCCAACGTGGCACACGCGGGCAGGGCAGAGACAGCAGCACGGCCCGGCCTGACTTACCTCCTTTCCCCCAGGGAGCAGGCTCTGCCCCAGGCCCTTCCTGAGGGTCTGCCACCGTCTCTGCTCCCGGCTGGGGTGCTGAGCCCTCGGGCTCTTCCTGGCCTCCTGGCCCCTCGGCGCGGGCCCCTGCTCCTGGAAGGGCCGGGAGAGGGATAGAAACACAGCCCGGGGTCAACACCTCCCCGCCATCCCGGGGGCGTGCAGCTGCCCCCCGCCCCCAGGGCAAAGGCAG